CCGCGTCCGCGCGACAATGCAACACTTGCAATGGGAGGGATGGTACTATTGCTTCTAGGTCAATCAACACTGAGCGCGGGTCCGCTGCGTTAGTTTTGACCAGAAAACAAAAGGCGATCGCGCGAACGTCCGTAATGAAATAAACAGTTATTTCCAGAACACCGTCAATATGTTGTCCAAAGTGACGAGGGGGGACGACAATTTGCCGCCTAGCAAAAAGGCAAAATATAGCCTCGGCTATGCAGCTGGTAAGGAAAAAAGTTATGTGCGCGATATTTTTTTATTGGTTATGTTTATTATTATTTTGAAAACTCAGGGGCCTCCAACGACGATTTCTTCCTAAATGCATTTAAAACACTTTTAACGCTGTCCAGGGTAACTAAGATCTCTAAAAATGCATTCTAAGTGGCGCTAATACATAGATCATATTTATAGTCTGTTCATACTAAATATAAAATCGTGTAATGTTAAGCGGCGAAGGCAACCAGAACTGTGAAATACAACAATAGGTCTAATTGCAGCACGCTTTCGTACATTTCCTGGCCGTTGTTTTGCATGACTACGTGAAACGTCCAGAAACTTCGTGGTTTTCACGTTGTTAACGAAATGAGCGAAAATCTTACTCTTGAGCAAACTGAAGTTTTTCAGTTTGCCAAGAGTGGGCACAACCTCCTCGTCACCGGTCAAGCTGGAACAGGAAAGTCAAGAGTGGTTGCCGCAATTCGCAATGATTGTCAACAGCGTGGTCTGCGAGTATCCGTGATTTGTTCGAGTGGAATTGCTTGTCAGGTGTATGATGCAGGCGTCGCTTCGACAGTCCATTCTTTTTACGGTCTTGGTGCTGCAGATCTGCCGGCCGAGCTACTGATTACTCGCGCTTCAAGTGATGGCAGGATGTGCGAGAGAGTACATGATGTGGACGTTATAATTTGGGACGAGGCGAGCATGTCCAGTTCAAGGATGCTTGAACTTGTTAACGCTTTGCATCACAATTTAGCCGACCAAGAAAATTATGAGTTACCCTTTGGAGGGAAACAACTCATAATCGTAGGAGAATTCCTACAGCTGCGGCCAGTGCCGAGTACCTTCGATTCCGGGGATTTTATGTTTAAATCTGCAGTTTTTCAATTCGCCGTCCCACATCGTTTTCAGCTGACAAAAGTAATGCGCCAATCTGAAAGCAACAAGTCTTTCTTGGACGCTTTATCTGACGTCAGACTCGGCGTATGCTCGAACGAAACGGCTGTGTTTATTGAAAAGTTATCGAGGGAATTGAGTCCGCAACTGAAAATCGCCGCCACGCATATCTTTTTTAAAAAGAATGCGGTAATGTTGTTCAATCGGATGAAAATGGACGAACTTGAGGGAGATTTAATGCGTTTCGACGCAACATACGAAGGGGACGGTGAGAAGGTGAACTGGCCAGGCGAGAGATCACTTTTTTTGAAAAAAGAATATAAAGTGATGCTACTTTGGAACAAGTCAGAAGACCTCAAAAATGGGAGTATGGGAACTTTCAAGAAAATGGCAGAGGGCAACAAGTTGCTGGTTTATTTTGAGAAAGTTGGGATTGTTGCTATTGAACGTGTAACGTGGTTTCAAAGGAACCATCAGGGAGAAACCATTGGCGCTGTTCATCAGTTTCCACTCACACCAGGATACGCGGTTACATGCCACAAATCGCAAGGGCTAGAACTCCCGGCCGTAGTAGTGCATTGCTCGAAAGAATTTGTCCCTGGTCTAGTTTACGTTTCCATGTCTCGTGTGAGATCAGCTACCACGCTGCAAGTCATAGGGTTCAATAGAACTCAAGTAATACCAGCAGACCACGAAGTTATAATGCAGTGTTCTCGAGTTACCGGTGAACACAGTGCTGATTTGAGGTGTTGCCGACGAAAGGTCACCAGGGACGAAAGCTTTTTTGATGTCCAAGATCGCTATAGATTTGCGGTTGGGGATTTAGCGGATGCTGAAGATTGTTACGAGTTTCCCATAGAGGTATCAGATGGAAAGGTGCAATCTTATTTCGAGCGTGAGGACACTGATCTCGAGGTAAGTGTCGCTCAGCTTTTTGAACAGATGGAAAAACACGAGTCAGAACTATCACACCCGCCTTCGGAAGGTTTGGACGCAACACCCCTGTTGATAAAATTGAAAGTGAACACGCCCTTTTCCGAATTCAGCCGAGCCATCAACGAGAACGTGGACTTGTTGTTGGAAGAACGCTTCACCGAAAATGTGAAGACGTTTATAGACATTATGTGGTTCCATTCATTCGTAGCCATAGAGAACCACATAATCGAAAATCCCGACGATCTAGACATCAAAGTGACAAGGAGTGATTTCACAACTGCTACAGGCAAGTTGCATCAAGTATTTAACTCGGAAGAATTTTCTCGACATGTATCGAGTTTATTTAACGTTTCCCCTTGTATAACAGCCCAGCGGTCTATCGGTGTCGATGGCAGTGTACTTCAAATTCCTAGAGCACCTTGTACAACTTTCAAGAAAGGAATACCAACAAGAAGTGGTTGCGTTTAACGTAGACGACATGTCAGCAGCTGGTAGGGCAAAAGTTCGTCATGTTGGTGGCTGGGCCGTTCGAAAAGTTCTTGAGAAATCAAGAAGGTACGTACGGGTCAATATCTCCTCTGAAAATTCCGAGACAATGGCATCGGTGCGGCGACACCACAGTATCTGCGAACTTATTGAAGAATCCCTTGTTGGATCTGTGGCAGTGTTGGAGGAGGAGAGCCAGCACAAAGACACCCTGCAGGTGACAGAGGCACGGCAATATAGAGAAAGAGGACTGATACATATAGGGGATGCTGTCTACAAATTCTTCATGTACCTAGAGAAACAACGAGTTCATTTGTTAAACGATCATATGTTGCGCAGAGAGGGAGTAAATATAGTCGAAGAGGCCCACCGAAAGCTGATCCAAGACGACGAAATAAGTTTGAAATGGCAACAGTGTTTCAAGAGCGAGGATGTGAAGGAAAAGAAGGTGCAGATAATCGTAAAACAATCAATCCACTTGGAATTTTGCTATCTTTAATTTTCTTTCACTTATTGTAACTCATTCATGTTCCTTTTTTAGGATTTAATACGGAATATTTTAGAATCTGTCATTGAACGCTATTTGCCAATGGGAACAGCGCAGTATTTGCGGGACTATCGAAGAAGCTTCCAACTTAAAAAGAGCTCAGAATTGAGAAAGCGAGTCCTTCAGCGACAGAAAAAGAATCAAGAGAAGTCAGACAGCGTATCATTCGAGGTAAAATAAGTGTACTGTAATTTTAGAGCACCCACCTTGTCTCGCAAGTGAAAGTGGGATTCCGTTTAGTGTACCTATACATGAAGGGGTTCTCACTGAGAGTACTCGGTAATTGGGCATTGAGAATTAACTCGCGTCTTGGATATGACTTCGACTTTAAAAGCTATTTTTTTTGGAGGCTATTAGTGACTCCGGTGACAATAAACACGTTATTGCTCCCGCAGGGATTTCGCTCAGAAGGCGAACTCCCGAGGAAGCACTCTAGTAGCTCGCGCGCAAATTAAGGAAAGCACTTACAGTACTTTCAGAGGGGCCGCGAGGAAATGATGACGTTTTCTATTGTTCGCGCCCGCAAGTAAGAGATGGTTTAAGGATGACGTAAAACATACGGTAGTATCACAGTGGTTATCAGTGACATTCTGTGGAGCAGCTGTTTTGAAAGTGATGGACCAAAATTAAAGACACTCGTTAAACGCAGATGAAGTTATAAGGTGTGTATAAACGCTTGGAGAGACACAAGTCACAAATCTTTGATTGGAAACAATTGGCCAGGCACTCTTCCTCGATCTCTTTGCGGAAATAAGACTCAGTCCCAAACAACTGAAACAAGCAAGACTAGTGAATCAACGGCTAGATTATCACTTGCAGAACGAAGGTCCGCGATTACAGAAATTCGAGGACTTTCAAATGAACCGTTTGTAAAATGAGAAAGAGAAATACTAGGCAAAAATTCCAACTTCTAATTAATTCTTTTCTTATGCTTTAGAATAAATTTAATAATTCTCCACACTGAGAATGTTTTCAGATCAAACCTGTGTAAATTGAACTGAAACTGTGCATGGAACCTTTCGTTTCCGGTTCTAACTTTCACCTATTGTATAGAGAATGTGTGAAAATCTTCATTATGAATCGGCCATGTAATATCCTCTATTTATTATGTATTTTTATTCCTAAACACAAAGGGAAATAAAAGGTTAGATGTCCGCACAGCCCCATACACTTGTTATGGATACATTTTATGCCTCCATTCATAACAACTATTTGTGTGAAATGCAATGTTTAATGATGAAATTGCTGCTTGCAAAGTAAATGTATGTGGTTGTACAGTAAGTATAAAGTATGGAAAAAGTAGCAAATTGAACCACAACATTTACCGAATGCACATGTATATTTTATTGACAGGATATTCTCAAGGACCGGTCAGAACAGAAGGTTTCTTCGCATGCGCGGCTGATACATTTTATTGGCAAGTACAATGATGACGCAAGTGTCTTTGCCCGTGTTTATACAAGAGCCCAATTACTGTTGCTTTGTGAGGCCTATGAGGTCCCTGTCAGACGGCGTGATACCAAGATAGAATTGGCTAAAACTCTCATTGAAGCCTTAAAGGGGACAAGATCAATACCGTTTACTGCTCCAGTGGATGACAGGGAGTTCCAGGTCGTAGAGACAGTGCATGATGAAGAACATGGTGGACTGCGCATGCGGTTCAGGATAGCAGGTAGCTCCATTGGAACATTCAATCGAGGCAAATAAATTACATTCTACTCAGTTTTAGCGGTTTTGCGCCTTTTTCCGGTTGGCATTGAACAAGCTGAAGAAGAATGTTCATTAGCTGCTCCAACATTGCTTTTGGGGCTGATGGTCGTTTGGCCAAAACGAATGGAGTTCTGTGTTGATTCCTGTTGCAGATAGGTTGTGATGGCAGTGTACTTCAAATTCCTAGAGCACCTTGTACAACTTTCAAGAAAGGAATACCAACAAGAAGTGGTTGCGTTTAACGTAGACGACATGTCAGCAGCTGGTAGGGCAAAAGTTCGTCATGTTGGTGGCTGGGCCGTTCGAAAAGTTCTTGAGAAATCAAGAAGGTACGTACGGGTCAATATCTCCTCTGAAAATTCCGAAACAATGGCATCGGTGCGGCGACACCACAGTATCTGCGAACTTATTGAAGAATCCCTTGTTGGATCTGTGGCAGTGTTGGAGGAGGAGAGCCAGCACAAAGACACCCTGCAGGTGACAGAGGCACGGCAATATAGAGAAAGAGGACTGATACATATAGGGGATGCTGTCTACAAATTCTTCATGTACCTAGAGAAACAACGAGTTCATTTGTTAAACGATCATATGTTGCGCAGAGAGGGAGTAAATATAGTCGAAGAGGCCCACCGAAAGCTGATCCAAGACGACGAAATAAGTTTGAAATGGCAACAGTGTTTCAAGAGCGAGGATGTGAAGGAAAAGAAGGTGCAGATAATCGTAAAACAATCAATCCACTTGGAATTTTGTTATCTTTAATTTTCTTTCACTTATTGTAACTCATTCATGTTCCTTTTTTAGGATTTAATACGGAATATTTTAGAATCTGTCATTGAACGCTATTTGCACATGGGAACAGCGCAGTATTTGCGGGACTATCGAAGAAGCTTCCAACTTAAAAAGAGCTCAGAATTGAGAAAGCGAGTCCTTCAGCGACAGAAAAAGAATCAAGAGAAGTCAGACAGCGTATCATTCGAGGTAAAATAAGTGTACTGTAATTTTAGAGCACCCACCTTGTCTCGCAAGTGAAAGTGGGATTCCATTTAGTGTACCTTTACATGAAGGGGTTCTCACTGAGAGTATTCGGTAATTGGGCATTGAGAATTAACTCGCGTCTTGGATATGACTTCGACTTTAAAAGCTATATTTTGGAGGCTATTAGTGACTCCGGTGACAATAAACACGTTATTGCTCCCGCAGGGATTTCGCTCAGAAGGCGAACTCCCGAGGAAGCACTCTAGTAGCTCGCGCGCAAATTAAGGAAAGCACTTACAGTACTTTCAGAGGGGCCGCGAGGAATCGCTATAGTAGGTTAATGATGACGTTTTCTATTGTTCGCGCCCGCAAGTAAGAGATGGTTTAAGGATGACGTAAAACATACGGTAGTATCACAGTGGTTATCAGTGACATTCTGTGGAGCAGCTGTTTTGAAAGTGATGGACCAAAATTAAAGACACTCGTTAAACGCAGATGAAGTTATAAGGTGTGTATAAACACTTGGAGGGACACGAGTCACAAATCTTTGATTGGAAAGAATTTGCCAGGCACTCTTCCTCGATCTCTTTGCGGAAATAAGACTCAGTCCCAAACAACTGAAACAAGCAAGACTAGTGAATCAACGGCTAGATTATCACTTGCAGAACGAAGGTCCGCGATTACAGAAATTCGAGGACTTTCAAATGAACCGTTTGTAAAATGAGAAAGAGAAATACTAGGCAAAAATTCCAACTTCTAATTAATTCTTTTCTTATGCTTTAGAATAAATTTAATAATTCTCCACACTGAGAATGTTTTCAGATCAAACCTGTGTAAATTGAACTGAAACTGTGCATGGAACCTTTCGTTTCCGGTTCTAACTTTCACCTATTGTATAGAGAATGTGTGAAAATCTTCATTATGAATCGGCCATGTAATATCCTCTATTTATTATGTATTTTTATTCCTAAACACAAAGGGAAATAAAAGGTTAGATGTCCGCACAGCCCCATACACTTGTTATGGATACATTTTATGCCTCCATTCATAACAACTATTTGTGTGAAATGCAATGTTTAATGATGAAATTGCTGCTTGCAAAGTAAATGTATGTGGTTGTACAGTAAGTATAAAGTATGGAAAAAGTAGCAAATTGAACCACAACATTTACCGAATGCACATGTATATTTTATTGACAGGATATTCTCAAGGACCGGTCAGAACAGAAGGTTTCTTCGCATGCGCGGCTGATACATTTTATTGGCAAGTACAATGATGACGCAAGTGTCTTTGCCCGTGTTTATACAAGAGCCCAATTACTGTTGCTTTGTGAGGCCTATGAGGTCCCTGTCAGACGGCGTGATACCAAGATAGAATTGGCTAAAACTCTCATTGAAGCCTTAAAGGGGACAAGATCAATACCGTTTACTGCTCCAGTGGATGACAGGGAGTTCCAGGTCGTAGAGACAGTGCATGATGAAGAACATGGTGGACTGCGCATGCGGTTCAGGATAGCAGGTAGCTCCATTGGAACATTCAATCGAGGCAAATAAATTACATTCTACTCAGTTTTAGCGGTTTTGCGCCTTTTTCCGGTTGGCATTGAACAAGCTGAAGAAGAATGTTCATTAGCTGCTCCAACATTGCTTTTGGGGCTGATGGTCGTTTGGCCAAAACGAATGGAGTTCTGTGTTGATTCCTGTTGCAGATAGGTTGGATTGTTATTTTGACCATTACATGATCTTACTTGACAAAAGTGATTTTCTACACCATCCTGGTTGATTATTGCAGGTTTAATTATGGATTGTGGAAATTGTGCTTGTTTCACTGCAACCATGGAACCAAAACCCAGGCACATAGATTGCAAGTCAAACCATAGTTTAGAAGAAACAAACTGGTTGTTGTTTTCTGAGCTTTCACTTCTCCAATCATTCATAAATTTGTGAAATTGATTAAGTTGTCCAAGGCGAGGATCTGCATTTGATCTGATCACTAGTCTGTCATTAAAAAGATTAACCAGTTTGGATGTATGAACCAACAATGATATTGTGCTGTCGAGGTGAGAGCTGTCTTTTCCTTGTCCCATCATGTTCTCTTGGTATTTCTGTTGAAATAATCATCATAGAAAAGGAAACCTTCAAATTTTTATTAATTCAAAACATTGATACAACAATATTTTAACTTCGTAAGAAATTTCATCCTGATTTTGCTGATTATAGTTTTTTAATTGATATAGTTTTTTCATTTATTGTGGGTTATTTCTTTCCGAGAGGGTTCATTTCAATGTCATGTCTTGACAAACTACGCACCGTCAGTCACTTCAACAGCTTGTAGCAATTTCAGTATTTCCAATAGGAAACTGCTCTGCAAATCTCACCTAATAACGGCACTTAAATCAAAGTTAAGGTTTGAACTGTCTTTCACCTGCATTAAAAATAGCATCTTATCGTCAAGTACATCTTCGGCTAAATGATTTCTCATTTTTGAGGCTGGGTCAAGATTGAAATGTTGGTCAGTTAACTTTTCATGCAGAGGAAGACTGAAGGACTTCTGATCCCAGTTGAAGGCATCTTTGAAATACTGCCAGGTCACATTCCTGCCCTTTATCATTAGACATCGGGGTTTACCACTTGCATTGCTCTTTTCTATATTGTTCCTGATCTTCTTTATGTTGTGCTGAGAGAAAAAAATAAATTAATATGTATAAGGACCACAGTACATGTCAATGTCATTTTAAAAGTTCAACCTCATTGTAACAAACCTCTTTATAAATAAGCCCTCCAAACGACATACTTTTCCCAAGTGAGGGAAAATGTAACACATTAAGAACCTAGTTTCAAAATGTTATTCACTTTGTAGCCATTTAGTTTTACTATACACATAGCCTAGGTTGATTCTTTCTGGTTGAAATTGACTTTGAAAAATAGTAAAGTATAGATTGTTGCTATATCTTTGGAGAGGAATAAATTTTGTGCCTAAATCTACCTTTGGATCCATGACAAAAACCATTGGTGTTCCAGTGTGGATGTTTGAAGTTATAAACTTATCCTTCACAGGATCCCTTCCTCTAAAGTGCATTCTGATAAACTGTCTGTTACAGTCTGCTCCATCCATAATACTCCAATATATCCTGAAGTGGACAGAAAGAATTAGAAAGACAATTTTTTATATTGGAGTTGAAATCTAATTTGTTATCATAGCTGTGTTTTATAGTTAGTGAATGTTTTGGTTGTGGGTAATTTGCCCAAATTCAATGAAAAATAATATATTTTCACTATCTTTGACATTAGCACCTTGGAAAGCATTTTCAAGATGTAATTCCAAGAAGAGTGCCCTGCTATGATTCATAAAAAATGTAGAGCATGTTGATTCAGATGGTGCTAATGTAATCCAAAAAAAACAAAAAATCATAAGTTGAGCATCCTGGAATTCACTTACATGCCTTCACTTGACTTTTTTTTCTGAATGCCTGTTGCTATTATAATTATTTTCATATATTGGTTCCATCGATTCCGGAATCACCAGATAAGGACATTAAACTCAGGGAAAGAAAGTGGTAAGTTCAGTTTTGATTCTGATATGATGTGGCTAGGATCTTTTCTTATAAGTGGGTAAAGATTTTAGAGTGCTCCAAAGTAATTCAAATTGGCTGTCATCAATTACATGAATTGGTTGGATTACTCAACCCCATTTGTTGTTTTAAAATTGACATCAATCTTTCACTATCCTATTAATGCATGTCGTTGTAAAAAATGATAATTTAATGTACTGTTATGTTGTTCTAGGATGCTAAAGTAGAGGTATGCATATATGTCAAGAAACATCACAAGTCCGCAGCTTACACGAAACCAAACTCCAGCATTTTCCTGACGCCTTTCCAGAAGTTAAAATACAGATCGCTCGGGGAGCATTCACCAGATGGGAACTGTGCAACAGGAAAGCGAAATCCACTGTCACTTATGAAAATGAATTGCAAGACATGAGTGGCCAACTGAGGTTCAGTTTTACCTGTAAAAACACATAGCCAAAGTAATAATGAAATTAGGTTTTGATACCAGGTAAAGTTTTAATCAGTTTCCAAAATAGTTTAAAAATACAACATACCAGACAGGCTTGTCATTAGATCGTGGCCCTCTCCAAGGTCAACAAATCCAACTAGCCTGTGCTTTCCATGCTTTACTACCATTTCTAGGCTTTCCTAATTGTAATATCAAAGCAAAAAAATTGTTTAATATTACTTACTAATACGCAAAAGGTCGTGTTGGAATTCCTGTGTTTGTTTTTTTCTCAAATGTTGGTTTTAGCAAGCAATGACTCTTTGTTCTAAAATTAAGATTATGTTGCTTACAGACGGAAATAACAAGCTGAAAGTGAATGACTCACTGTGAATAATGCACTTGAAAGAAGTATTTCATATATACAGGCTAGCCCAGGCCATGTAACCTGTAGGTCAAAATCCTTATAGCTGTGTGAGCGATCCAACATACCGATTTAGCATTATAGCAGATAAGTTTTTTTTCCGATACGAACCTGAATTTTCATTTCGTCTATCACAAAGCCTCCCCAGTAATCCTCCTCCCTGAGATTTTTCTCTTGTGCAGTCTCCAGGCACCATTTTAGCACTTGATCGTTCCAGCCGGGTTTTTCTTCTACTTTGTTCTTATAGAGTCTGTGAAATTAATGAACATGGCTTGTCATTTAATTTGATTTTTCTAAATTAGAAGGTAAACATGTTCAACGTTTTCATTATGAGATCATCTTTAAATGTAAAAGGTCAAGTGTGGTCGTGTCGAATGATATGCCAAAAACAAGGTTACCTGATAGTGCGGTTGCTTGGAAGAATGATAAATTTCCTAAGGGGGTCAAGGACGTGGGGGTTCTTACAATACAGGTCAATGCACAATCTGATGATCCTGTAAAATAATATTGTCAAAGAATGAAATTACGTAGGCACAAGCTAACACTGACTGCTATGCACTGGTCAGCATAGCTGAGGGGGAACTCGTGGGGGAGCATATTAAAACATTCAAACTTTTAACATACTAGGTGCACAAACGACCGCTTCGCCCGCGGCCTGATGGTTAGGGTAACCTAATAAGCGTATTTTTTTTCCTGCCATTTACTGTAGTTTCATTTTACTTTCTACCTTGTCGTTTAAGTACTTATGTAACACCTATTTTACAGATACACCTGCGGAAAACAACTTACTTTGGGTGCCATCTGTAACCCCGCTTACTTTTGGTGGCCATGATACTTTTCTGTTGGGTCCAGAGGCATTCCATTTCATGTGGAACTTTAGACTTGTCTATGTTGTGTAAGATTGTGGACAGATCCCTGTGATCCTCTTCCTCTAACTGCAGGGATTCAGTTTCAAATTTTTCCCTCCAGTATGTTTCCCTTCTTTCTGCATTGAATCGTTGCTTCTTTTGCTGGTTTAGTTGCAACA